GGCCGCAGCCAGTCAGCTGAAACTCCTTTGCACTAAAACCAGAGTTTTAACACCAACAAGCTAATAATAAACCATTTTAATAAATACATTTCCCATAAACACGCGAGTAAGCGCTTGCCGGTGCACCCATGCGGTTCAGATGTTCGTTCTGTAAATGACTGGGTCAGTGTTTTAAGCTGGGTATCCGTAATTAGGTGTGTAACACTTAAATATTTGTAGCTCAGAAGATGAGGTGGATGTGCTCTTACACGGCACTCCTGACCAGAAGCGAAAGCTGATACGGGAGTGCCTGACTGGGGAGAGCGAGTCTTCCAGCGACGATGAGTTCCAAAAGGAGATGGAAGCGGAACTGAACGCCACCATGAGGACTATGGAAGGCAAATGGAAATCACCAGAAATGGGTAAATGATGCTTAACATCTGCTTGCATATGAAAGTGTGAGTTAGGTGGTGTCCAGTTAAGGTGTGAAGTTAATGTGTTATTCCTGTGGCTAGAGGTGCGTGTGGTGACAGTCGAGTGCTTGTTTGAAGCCTACAGAAGATCTTAAAATGGCTGATCGCTTCTGCAGAAATGGTCACCAGGTGCCATTTAAGTGAACGCCTTTGTTCATCTTTTCTGAGACTTTGATTTTGGTGTTCCTGAACTTCCGATTTCCTGCTTTAATATGATTTCTCTTTGTTGGATCGGTCCCTCTTTTTCCAATATCTCTAACTTTTGTTTTCAGTTGTTCTTTCACATGTATTTAGAAGTTCCTTGAGCTGGTTGCGGTTTTGTACTTTTGTCTAGCGGCTCTGGATGCTGTCATAGTTTGCGTACTATGGGTGCAAGAGATGGATTGCTTTGGCGTTTGAAGAGCATATGTCCTTTTTACCTATTACAAAACACCTTGTGAAATGTTCTTAATTTCCTGGAGAATCAACGTAGTGTTCGCTTTAATGTAGGGACTTGACTTTGCATTCAGCAGGTTTAATATTTTTATCTGCCTTAGTGGACAAATCTGATCTGTAGGCTTTAGGTGTGCAACTGAAAAGATGTAGCAATAGTTATACCACCACAATCCATCCCACAGAGGATAGGATTTTTGGTGCAGACTGGCTGCGACACATGTGCTCGGCAATTCATCTAGGTCTACTTTGAGCTTCTGTGGCCCTGAAATTTTGAGGGCTTTTTTTAGTGAATTTCATTGTAGTTAAAGTTTGTGAAACAATGTGCCACACCTGTATTCCTTCCACATGACTGAAGATTTATGGAGTGTCTGAGATTGTGTGGATTATATAGGGCAGAGGCAGGCATGTTTGATGTGGTGCCCTCTATGCCTAAAGGGAGCATACCTTGGGAGAAACTTTCCTTTGAACTGTACCTGAGGTTCATCTCAGAGGGAGTGAGCATCTGTGCTCTGAGAGAGTGTCTGTAAATAACACAAGCGATGTCGATGGTCGCAATGTCACGATGTGGGAGTTAACTGGGAGTGCTGTTGCTTAACACGCAGGTAAAGCAGAGCACTTCTGGGTACAGTAACTTGAAGATGAAGGTTTGTTCTGGGCTGTATACTTGCTGTCCTTTTGGTGGGGTGTTCTTAAGCTGTTCTCTCTAATTTCACACGTAGGTACGTCCTCAAGTACTGAGCAGACTGGACCTGCCACCACTTCAAAATACTATGATGACATTTATTTTGATTCTGATTCAGAAGATGAAGATAAAACAGGTAAATGGCTGAGGAGAGGAGAGAGGTGGACATCTTTACATTAGCACTCTCAGATCCTGTAGAATCCTCTTGGGGGGTCAAGGGGCTGCTCCTGAAGGCAGTCTTTTGGGGGGAATTACCAGCCTACATCATCTCAATGTAGTTTCAACAACTTTGTGGTGTATCCCAATGTATGTAAGGTGTGTTAATGCTTTTGGGGTGGTGCATTTGGAGGAGCAATGAGCTAGACCTTTATGTTTTAGTTAAGACTTATTGTGAGCATGGAAAGGGAAAACTTGAAAAATGGATGTTTTGACTATTTAAACAGAGAATCATCATACATCTGATGGATGTAACATGCACTTGTACAACTCTTTCCAGCTACACAGGACGTCCAGAAAACCAGAAAACATCAGCAACGCCGGATTCTTTCCAATGATGAACTGCTATATGACCCAGAAGAAGACAACCGAGACCAAGAGTGGGTAGACTCACAAAGGAGGGGGTAAGAGACTATAAATATTTGAATTGCAGGATGCTTAATATAAAATGAAAAATTTAAATTAAAATGGTGAATAGGGAGAAAAAGCCTCTGCTGTCAAGTCTATGTAATGAAATTGGGGTTTTTTTTTTTTAGAATTTACAGCATAGAAATTCAAAAGCCTGTAATTTTTTTATGTATATATAATGGAAGTTGAGTCTTCAAAATGACAATTCTAAAACTTGCAATTTTTTAAAACCAAAACTTCCTAGTTTGGTAAGCCAATTTTGTCTGTAGATCTCATCTAAACAACCATATTGTGGGTGAAAAGATTGTAAGATTTGCTAATTTCAGTTTTTAATGCCCTATGATACTTTGATTGCTAAATTAATATCTGTTCCTGCTAAGTATTGTGTTTATGGTTTTGGAAAACTTTGAATTTAGTAAGCCACAAAATGTTCAGATAAAATAGGAACGGCACAAAGCTGCTTTACTGAGATTTTTTTGATGGGTGAAGTAGAAAAACGGCAGCTGCAGCAGAATTAAAATTCTCCACATAAATCTGTTGAAAAAAATTTAACATTAATGTGTTATAGCCTGCAGAGAATGCACTTGAGACAACCACCTCGTCAGAGGAGCGGGTTATTAGGCATAAATTCTCATGCTGCAGGTGTTTGTTTCGCCAAGTAAGCATCCTCTGTACAAAGTAAATGAAGATAGTGGTATGTGTTTTTTCCCCCAGTGTATTTATTTATGTGCTTTGAGTTAGTGGAAAAAGGTGTCCAGGAGGTGCCAAATACTTACTTGTGTATTTTAATATAAAAAAAGTTTAGAGGTTGAATTGATGTATCTGACAGTAAGGGCACGTAATTTCACTTTCTGTCTCTCCTTTCTTGCATTGGTAGGTACCGTAATCGAAGAAGAGCGCAGCCACAGCAGCAGACGAAACCTTCAGCTGTTCCAAATAGTGATGCTGTTTTGAATTGCCCAGCTTGCATGACAACGTTATGCCTGGACTGTCAGAGGTAACTGGTGAACACTAAGGGGTCTCTTTGCAGTGGTCTTTTTTTTTTGGTCAGTTGTATTTTTAGTGTATTTGCTTTGATCAATTGATTTGATCGAGTCTGTCTTGCGAGGTGGAGCTAATAAAAGAGAAGGCAGGTATATGTGAATCAGATTTAGGGGTGAATGACAGTTTGTAAGAATGATGATCAGCTTAACCTGCAACATGGAGATGAGGAAGAACAGTGTAGAACTTCAGCACAGCGGAGAGGGTAAACTATAAAAAAACATTTAATGGAGACCAAACAAGAAGTTCAGAGTGGGTGGTGGGTGGGGTTTCTGTTGGTTTTTTTTTTTTAAATATTGGCTTGATGTTTAGAGGCATAGAATTATTCCAGATTAACTGTTATTTTTGTGTGCAAGTGCCTTGCTTAGGGGAGGATTAAACAAAATCACGATAGTGCTTTCTTATTTGGTTTGAGTCTTAGCAGTTGTGATTTTGAGTATAGTTATATTAAATAGTGCCTGGAAAGCATTTAGGTGAGAACCCATAGTGTGTTTTGCAGCTCTCCAGTATCTGACTGCACTGCAAACCTAGTTAGTGTTGCTCACCCATGCTAAGGAGAGGACTCTTGAGCTGGGAATACGGGAGGAAGAAATCTTGTGAAACATGAGGAGTAAACTACCTCTCGTTTATTGAGTACTTTTGGTGCTTGAGGATGAAATTCCACAGCAGCCTAAAATCGTCTTAAGTACTGGGTGCTGTTTCTCACTCTCTTCCCTTTGCTGGCTATGGTATTCCTTGACCCTGTTCTATAGTTAAGTATTTCAGTTTGCTAAGCTGATGGAAAACTGGCCATTTTTATTGTCAGGCTGGTCTTTTGTGGTTTTAATAAACTGAAATATCTCAGCACAGAATTACACAAGCAGTAAAGCCAGCAGAAGTCGAGATAGGACTTCTGCAGCTGCCTGTTATGTTGGTTTAGGCTGCTGTAAAACTGCAGCCCGAGGGACGCTGTGTTGAATTGAACTGCAGCCACGTGTTTTGCTACGTACTCCAGCTATGCCGCTGTTACACTGATGGCAGCTGAAAATACGCTTTATATTTTTGTATAGATGTGCTTTTTCAAGTGTGATGCGTCCATGTTTGTTATTTATAAATAAGGAATTTCAGGCTCGCGAGATATTGTAGGATATAACTGCCAATATTTGAGTCATTTGTGCTCGCAACTTCATGATCTCTTGCCTATCATGAGCTATATGTAGCGATGCGTAATTCTGTAGGACCGATACCATTGTACTCTGGGGTGTTTATTTCAGCAAGAGACAATCTGTTTTTAAAAACACCTTAAAAACAAGACAGATGGCTACAATTCTATTTTTTAATTAGTTTTGTAGTTGTGACTTCTGTTCTGCTTATAAAACTTCCTATTTATTTGGCTTTCAGCCCTTTGGCGTGGTACTTCCTATCTTTAATCCCATTTCCAGTGACGATAACTGCTTTCTTGGAAGCGGAGTTTCACCAATGATGTGACTTGCATTTTCTCCCCTTCTCCCTAGACACGAATCTTACAAAACACAATATAGAGCAATGTTTGTGATGAACTGCTTTGTTAACAAAGAGGAAATTCTGAAATACAGAAAGAAGCTAAAGAAAAGAGGTAAGAAAATGAAGCGCGGCGAAGAAACTATACAGTCAAATCAAGAAGAGGAGGAAGTGTATCATCCAGTATTATGCACTGAATGCTCAACTGAAGTGGCTGTAATGGATAAAGATGAAGTTTTTCACTTCTTCAACGTTCTAGCCAGCCACTCCTAATGTGCAAAAGCAGGGGGGAAAAAATTCTGCACTGTTTAAGACTGTGTGAAGTATGAGAGATGCAGGCACGTAAGCCTTTTTTAATTATGGTCTTTTAAATGTATGTTTTCATCAGAGAACTTCGTAACTGTTGGATTTTTGTAAAGTATATGAAAGGAATAGTTAACTGCCTGCTTTTGAGAGCAATATTCTTTCACACTGTCAGGTGGTTGCATCATTGAGGATTTAAAATGTTGTAAATAGAATGTAATATCTTTGTATTATGATCATTCACTGTATATATACTACCCATTATCTCAATATGTAGTAGAACTGCTGCTTAGAATAAATACTGTGTAGTAACTGGTTCTCTGTAGCTGGATTGGTCATTTCACAGAATCATAGAATCGTAGAATCATTTGGTTGGAAAAGATCTTTAAGATCATCGCGTCTATGGCGCGTGGTAAACAGCTCTCAGTCGGGATGTTGGGCTTCTTCAGGCTGGTATTCTTGGCAGATTTGCACACATGTGGGTTTGATAAAGAAGGAATTGCCATTATATTTGGATTTTTGGCCCATTAAGATCTCAAAAATGGAAATTTTTACTTACACAGAGTGGAAGATTAGCTTGTATCAGGTTTTCTGGCATGGATCTTTTAAATCAACATATCTGTGCTTCGTAATACAGCTAAGAGTTTTTAATGTAAATAGGTACGTGAAGAAAATACTGGACTTCTTCTCTGTTGTCCTTTTTCCTTACGATGACACATTTTAAGCAGAATTTTATGGTCAGATCTATGACCATAGAGCTAGTTTGTATGCTTTTTTTGTTTCTTTAGTACATTTACAGCTTCTTTATGGAAGCATAAAGAGCTTCTGCTACTCGACATTGAGATTTCTTGCTTAGTCCATGAAGCCACTGCAGTGTTAACAGTGGATCCTTCCCTCTCTTCCTCCAGGCATGGTCCCAAGAGGTGAACTCTTGTCTTTTATTAGTAGGTAACTTCTCCTCTTTATAGCCTGGTATTTTTTAACTTCTCACTTTGAACAAGGGTCGATCTGAAAAAAAATCTCATCTTTATGCTTCTGCTTTTAATAGTACTAGGAATAATTTGTTGCATGTGCTTTGAGGGATTGTCAGAAATATCTAAACTTAAGAGGTAGGAACCTGAAGAACATACTTCTGTTGTGCCTTAGATTATAATAAAATCTTGTGACTCTTCGGTTACCTTTTGTAGTCCCTGGTGCTGTATTTTACTAATTAGGCATACTCATTCTACAGTGTTACGTGAGATTAGGAAGAAAAAAAATACATCGGTGGTTCTGTCAGGATTATGTGGGGAGAACACTGACTTCCTATTTCCAAGTCAGCAGAAACTTAACCTCTGCTTGATGAAGTAGAGAACTGTTGAGGCAGCTGCTGAGCGCTTCCTCTGCACGTGCAATTTACGATCAAAACTGAGCTGTGCTTGTTTTCAGGCTTGGGATCTGCCGGAGGTAAGATCTCAATCTCGTCTGTGCTACCTATGGTAGGGGAAACGCTACGCAGAGGAATACTGTCAATTTTCTTAAGGGGCTAAATAGCAAAAAACTGTCTCATGAGTGTGCACCATGCTGAAAAGGTGTAAGGGGCCTGGTGGGTTCAGGCAGGTGTAGCAAGAGATTTTGAAGTTTTCACGTTACCTTCCCTCTCATTTGGGTACTTTCTTGCTGCTGCTTCTTGCTTGCCCTATCTCTTGAATTGCAGAGCTGCTTCCTAGGAAGCGTTGGAGCAGGCAGGACCGGGGCTCGTTTGCCCTGTATGGGTAACATTCTTGCAGCTTTGAATGGGACTAACACTTCAGTTCCACTGAATACCCCACTTGTCCTTGAACTTTGTATGTGTTTATGTAGAAAGGAAGCTTTCATGATTACCACCACTTTTTCAGGCAGCAACACCAACCCAAGACTCCTCCAGCAGCAACTGCAGCAAGCCACAGCGGTCTTGGATAGGGACAACAGCTCCTGTAGCCAGTTGTGTGGGGGTATTAATCGTGTGAATGCTCTCATTTCTTCTTGTGCTGAAATAAATCTGCATAGATAAAGTGTGTCTAAATGACTTCTGGTTGCATTAAATCCCCTTTCAGATTCTGTTACACAAACCACTACAGTATTCAGTTTTCTCTGCCAGCTGGTTTTCTCTTTCCCAGTTATGTCCTGGTACTGTAGTGGTGTTTTGCAGCTGTGTAAATAACTCCTTTGCGCATCCTCCTGTGGCTGTATTTCCGTGGTTTTCACTGCACAGGTGAAGGTAGGGGCAGGGTGGCTGCAAGAGCAGAATCGCACTGCTCTGACTTAATTGCAAATTGATTTACCAAGCAGGGTCGATACCAGTTTCTAATCTATGGTGCGCACACTTGGCACGTGAGGTCCTGGCTGGTGGCCTGGCCCCAGTGCCTGGTGGTTGCACCTCATGCTCCGCTTAGTCATGGTGCCTGGTCACCACCTACGTCCCCTTCCAGCAGACTGTTAACCAGCGCCTTCTGAACTAGAGTGCCAGTATAAACTGCCAGCCTTTCTAATCATGCAATCCCAGGCCACTCTCTGGGAATTTCTCCTTACCTTAACGCCAGTTAGCGCTCCGGGCAGGGGTGTCCCACGCCCTCTGCTTTCTGGCCCCAGCTGCCTTAGGGAAGTGCAAAGTTAGCCATGGTTACAGTGAAATCCTGTCGCCTCTTTATTTTTCCCACGCATATGGGATTAATCTACTCAGATTAAGGTCTCATTTCCCAGGGCCATGTTCCTGGGTGGGCTTTACCCTCTGGCTGCTGCAGCCACTGAAGGCTCCTGCAGAGCCTTGTTACCGTACTTCCCACAGGCCCTGCCGGGCACAATCTTCACGTCTTCCGTAATTCCCAGAACGTCTGTTTAGATTAAACAGGATGAGAGAAAGGAGGCAGCAGCACCGCTTCCTAGGCGTGACTCGGGCCGGCAGTTTACCCCAAGTTCACGGCCAGCCATCGAATTTAACCAGATGGGACGCAAACTGGCAGCGGCTGCTGGATGTTAACGTTCCGCGGGCTCTGAGCCTGGGTGCG